CTGTCTGTTTGAGTTAGTGATAGGCCAGCAACCTTTGGCTCCCCACACGGTTGTGGCCGGCTACATGGGAAGGAGCCCCTCTGCTTACAAGTTTGCAAAGGATTGGCAGCAGCAAACTGAGATTGCTAAGGCTTAAACCTTGGAAAGGGCAGCTAATGTTCGAAAGGCCCAACGGATCACCATAGGATACAACCCTTGCGACCTGCTCCCCTCTAACTTAGGACTCACTACCCGCTTGAAAGCCCTACTTCTGTCTTGCTTAAGACTAGAACCCGGATTGCATTCACTCTTTCTCTTTCTTCTCTACTTGGTAGCTTCTTCTTCACCGTTCAAGTAGATGTGCTCTATCAATATGGCAACTCGGTTGCATCATGGAAAATTCATTAAAAAATCTTCCAACATCTCAATATTCTCCTTTTTTCAACACCTCCAATCTCCGCACCATGTTCGTTCTGTGACTCTCCATATTTTCCAAATTTCAAACAGCTACGCCCCAACAAGAAAACGGATGCGCTAATACCCTTATTAGAATAGGCTTGAGCGCTAGCGCGCCCCTATCTCGTCAGTCGTTGCTTGTTCAGTCGAGCACTTCGTTCCTTACTTTCCAGTCTTTTTCTGAAGTTCCTTCTAGATTACTGTCAAATAGGTTCTTCTGCCGCTTCATTGGTTGATCGGCATACGAGGGTGTCAGAACTAAGAAAGCAAATCGGACAATAAAGATCAGTACTAAGTTAGAAGGAAACTAAGCATCAATCCCTAAACCAAAAAAAATACGATAGTACCGTCAGTGTTATCACTGAATCGGGTACATCTGGGTTGGTGGAAACTAGGTCCGCGTGTCAAAGAAGATCTCCGTTATTGAGTCCCTTCTAAGCAGGCTCAGGATATGGGTAGCGCATATGACAGACAATCAGGGAATTTTCTTCTTAATAGAGTACCAGACTTCTCACATGGCTATATGACCAAAGATCAGGTCTCCGACCAAACTTCCCTTAGCTACTTTGAAACAACACATTTCACAATTAATTAAAAGGGCTTAACGATGCCATAGTCTGTACACGCCTAACTTATCCCTTATTCAGGATTGGTTATTTTCTCATACCGAAACGAACTTAGTTTCTCTAATTCCAACCGGAGCGATGTTGGGAACTTGCACTACTGATAACAAACAAAAGCTGGATTCTATCTTTTCCTTCTGTGAAGCGTATCTATTTGTTGGTTGATTGGCTTGTGGTGCTGCTCTAACCAAGCTGTGGAGTTGAACCACAGTTCTTCCTTACCTTTTGTGGTGAAATTTCACTTCCCTTTTTCATAGCTATTATGGAGGAACCGCTGCCCTCACTCAATTCTAATCTCGAAATCTTTACCCGATCAGGAAATGCTTATCTTATATGGCACCATAGGTCTGAGTTTCGTTTCCTATATGCGCTTTCGTTCCATCCGACTTCAAGAACTTATAGGGGGCCACCCACCCTTTCCCCTTTACCCTCTCACTCCCTAAGGAATGAAAGGCCACATCTAAGCACAAACCACTGGGATACGAATGAGATCTAGAATTACACCATATAATAGTACATGGCTTTTCTTCTCGAACCGACCTCCTCCAAATAAATTGCACCTCAATAATTCAATTCAAGATAGATAGAAGGGAGAATGTTGCTGACAAAGATGAGCTCTACCAGTCTCTCCTTTTTTTATTCCATCAAAGGCCAGTTCTAATTTCTCCTTAGAAATTTCATCCATAAGCCTTTTATAAGGCAGGCTCCGGTGGGTCCCCTGGTTCTCTATTTGCTTAAGGTGGTCGAAGTATGTATCCAATGAGAATGCCCTACCTTGAGGATAGAAGAGCACCCCCCTAATCTGGTGCCTTTTCTCTAAAATGGAATCTTCTTGAACCCTGTCCGAACGAAGGACTTCCTCTATCTTAAGCTCCGTTTGGAATTGGGTCTCAATTATTGCCTCATAAATATCTTCGGGCAAGGGACGCTTGATAGTATTTATGCTAAGACGATCACTGAGCTCCCGACGCCTCTGTCCTTCCTCCTGTAACGGATGATAAACCTCAGCAATAGGCGATGCGGGTTCACCAGGGTTGGGACAGTCCGGGGCCGGCTGGTTGAGACTGGCTTCGGAATTACCAGGGGAACTGCTTCCAAATAAATCAGTCCACCTGAAGCCCCTTCCTCCAGCGCTCTCACCTGATCCTGAGCCAGAGGCCCCCGAAGGAGCCATCATCATCTTATTTTCCAGATCAAGACCCACAAAAACCATTGCAAGTAGGAAACCTCCGGAATACCACCCGAACCGACTAACAACCAAGTGAACAAGAATTCGATGGTATAAGCGCCCCAATAAGATATCAAAATTTAGACCAAAAGATTGTAGTAATAGAGAAGCAAAGCCAAGAACACAAAAAAATGAGAAGGGAAAAGACCCTTCCTAGAAGACGAGGAGATAAGGGACGAAGGATATTCATGGTAGTGCAGTTAGTATTATCGCTATTTCCTGCACAGCCCTTGTCCGTAGTGATATCCTAATTCGGCTACCTCTCCCACTCATCAAAGCAGACATCAGAAAAGAAAACTATTGCCAAGGGAGACCGGAATACGCTATGCCCCATCACTTACAAAAAGATCAGTTACGGAAGCACTACGCTTCTCAGGGCTCTCTGCGTCAGAGTGAGCCCGCCGGGGCGATCCACTCACCTGGAGTTCAAGTTCGATCCATTAGGTTCTTTTTTTTCAGAAAAGAAACGAGAGACAAGAAATGATCTTTGATTACGAATTAAAGGAACAATCTCAAATAGACCAAGATCCAATTTCGGGTCATTTCTTGGTGAACATGATCTGCCATAATCTCTTCGATCCCTTCATTTATGTGCCAGAATAGAGAGAGATTTGGTAGGAAAGTGGAAGAGACCTTTTTGTATATGATAATCAAAGGGAGTAGGAAAGCTGCAGTAATTCTTTGGAAAAGCCCGGTTCTCTTTGTCTTCAAGCTTTCATTCCTCAATCCACTAATCCCTTCCTTCATATACCTCCCCACCAATAGATAGAGACAAATAGGAATAACCGAACCACGTCTACCAAATGCCAATACCATGCAGCTGCTTCAAAGCCAACGTGATGCTCCTTGGTCAGATGACCAAAATATTGGCGAATACCACATATGATCGAGAAAATAGTACCTATAATCACATGAAAACCATGAAACCAGTTGCTAAGAAAAAGGTAGAACCATCCGAAATAGTAAAGGGTGCTTGATAATATTCCATTCATTGAAAGCCTGTGAATACTAGAGCCAGTGAAATGGTAGCTACTAAAGCGTACACTACTCGTTTTTCCTTCCCCGCGAGTATAGCATGATGAACCCAAGTTACGGCAGCTCCAGATAAAAGGGGAATAAGGGTATTAAGAAAAGGGATTTCCCAAGGGTCTAAAACCGCAATCCCTTTTGGGGGCCAAATACCTCCGATCTCTACCGTAGGTGCCCAAGAAGAATGAGAAGAAGCCCAAAAAAGAGCAAAAAAGAACATAACCTCTGATATGATAAACAGAATAAAACCATATGGAGGTCCTAATTGTACGACTTTGGTATGATGTCCTTCGAACGTGGATTCACGTAGAACATCGCGCCACCATACGAATATGGTATATAGGATAAATATGAGGCCCAAAGTGAGAAGTGTTGCACCCCCTTGAAATGAGTGCATGTACATCACACCTCCTACGGTTGTTTCCAAAGCTCCGAGTGAACCCGAAATAGGCCATGGACTTGGATCTACCAAATGATAAGAATGCCTCTGAGATTAAATCATAAACCACTTTGCCTCGGTTCTATGTAAACCCCCCTTCACCGCCACCCCCTAAAGTAGTAAAGTAAAGAAGGTCTCTTTGGGGTCTAATTTTCTTTCTATCTGACAGGACAAACAAAGAAATAGGAAGGGATGGTTCTTTCATTCCATTGATAGAAGTCTAACTAGAAAAAGACTCTCTCTATTACTTTGAGAAGAGAATCGTTGGTTTGACCGACGAACTACGTGGGAAAATAGACCTTCTTTCTTTGATTTGAAGCAAGATTTTTTGAAAGTAACAATTCTATTCAGTTCGCTTTCGGAAAACTTGCTGGTCGCGGATTAGTTCGTTATACGCCGCCAGCGGCCTCAACTCAAAGGCGCAGGTTGATCTCTCTGGTTGAGGCTGCATTCATTTATTCATATTCAACTTGACACGTGGGAAGGGCTTACTCTACTAGTGGCTCGGCTTGGTCTCGCTCCCTTCCCGCACTATTCCTCCCCACTAAAAAGAGAGATTGAGAATCTCGAGAACCTTTCCGAACGTCTGTCTTCGCAGGGCGATTGGAAAAGAAGGGAGTATTTAATTCTTTTACTGCCTTCCATTCCACTATTCTGATCGAATTAATTGCTCTTCCGAACGACCAAGTCATAATGAGATTAAAAATCGATGCTTCCTTGGTTGTGTGGAACATGGATTAGCATTATGTCATTCCTACAAGTGATGACCCACCTAGAATTGCTATGTACGGACTTAGAGATCAAATATAATATGTTTCTTTCCATTCTTCGTGAGCCACTTATTTCTCCGAAACAAGAGATTAAAGTCATCTTCCTCCTTTTTCCCAAGAAGTCGACGGCGTTACACCATTGGGATACTTTGAATAAACTTGAGTACATATAGGATACACCGGTGCTAAAACCTTTTCTCAAGATATCTTCCAAATTGTTGGGGTCGTTGCTCAGAAAGCTCAGGTTATGAAATCGCTTAGCCGTTAATTAATTTTAAACAGAATTCCATACTCGATCTCATAGATACATATAGAATTCTGCGGAAAGCCGTATTCGATGAAAGTCGTATGTACGGCTTGGAGGGAGATCTTTCATATCTTTCGAGATCCACCCTACAATATGGGGTAAAAAAGCCAAAATAAGTGATTTTAGCCCTTATAAAAAGAAAACTGATTCTTGAACCCCTTTCACGCTCATGTCACGTCGAGGTACTGCAGAAAAGAAAACAGCAAAATCCGATCCAATTTATCGTAATCGATTAGTTAACATGTTGGTTAACCGTATTCTGAAACACGGAAAAAAATCATTGGCTTATCAAATTATCTATCGAGCCGTGAAAAAGATTCAACAAAAGACAGAAACAAATCCACTATCCGTTTTACGTCAAGCAATACGTGGAGTAACTCCCGATATAACAGTAAAAGCAAGACGTGTAGGTGGATCAACTCATCAAGTTCCCATTGAAATAGGATCCACACAAGGAAAAGCACTTGCCATTCGTTGGTTATTAGCAGCATCCCGAAAACGTCCGGGTCGAAATATGGCTTTGATCTTATTCTCCCGGTGTGAAACCGGTTGGTTCCGTAGTTTTAGAATTCTACTGATCCCAAGTACTCCTTCTCCATCATTGCATATAGGAATATAGAAAGTAAAGAGGAAAAGGCATGACCAGAAGAATTGTGTGAAATAAGTGAATTTATCTAGTTGTGACATTCTTGATTGATTGAGACAAAACGATTCCCTCAATACAACTTAACTCCGTCAAGCCTGTACGAGTAGTGAAGAAGTATAGAGCACTTTGGTTGGTTGTTGACCAACAGAAAGCATGGGAGAAAAAAAGAGAGAACTCTTTCTTTTTTACTATGATTGGGCCCTGCGGTGGTAGAACCTCGTGAACCGGGCGTACTACTGAAACTTTCTTTTCTTCTCTTATGATATTTCGAGTGCTACTTTCATTTCAGATACATTCGAATCCATTATTCTTTGTAGCATGAAGAAGAAATATAGATTTTTAGTAGAGGAAGGACGTAGCTGGCACAATGAGGGAAATGAAGGCACTAGCAGATGCAGTTTTTGGAATAGATCGCTTAGCTCTACTTCTCAGTCAATCCCCTTTGTTCATGGCTTTGAATTTATTGTAATGCTTAAATTTTATGTAAAGATCTCGATGACCGCTTAATTCATCTTTCCTTTCCCGCTCCTGAATGAGAAGTGGTTTTATTTATTCCTGCGGTCTTGGCCTGAGAAAAGTGATCTCTGAAACTGAAATTCGACTGAAAATTTACCAATAGAATATGCTTTAGAGTAGCTCTTTCCAAATAGGTCGAGTAGCCATTCATAGAAATTGAATTAATTAAAAGGAGATAAATAGTTGGGATTCACACGCACAGCCTTATCCTATGAGTCCGCCTATGCTACGCGCCTGCCTTTGAGAGCCTTTCCGTTGGTTCCCTTCGTCGGCGTCATTGAACCTCGTTAGCATTTCGAAAAGAATTGGAGGCTCAAAAAGAATGGTCAAAGGAATTGATGATTCGTGTTTAGTCTCCGATCTTCGCCTAGTCTTAGAACCTGCACTGTAGAGAGGGGAACAAGCACCTCTTTCTGCCGCTCTCCTCCCATATATAGGTATTCCTGGAAGTGAGAACATTGCTGCCCAACTTATAACCCGGTCACTCCCCGTCTTCATCCTAGACGCCACTGGTACTATTCATCTATACTATATATGGATGACTCCCGCTTTCTCCCCAATGGAATGATCTGGACCCTTGCGAAAGGACCTCAAAATCCGACGACCTTGACTGAAAAGCTCCCAATTAGGTCAGTAGCTGGCCGAGTCGCTAATAGACCAAATAAGCAAAGTAGCTGTTTAGAGCCGAAGGAGCTCTATTTGGGATTCTATAGCCTACGCACTTGCCTTTAGGGGATCGAAGTTGGATGAATCTCCAGTGGTTCCTTCCATCGGCGTCATCGAACCACGTTAGCAATCCAGAATAACTAGAAGCTCGAAACGACCGGTCAAAGAAATTGATCCATTTAGTTATGTTCTTCTCCTAGTTTTATAGTACACCCATGTTGAGGGATCTTTCCGACGCTAAGCGCGCTGCATCTCATGTCCAACCAAGTAAGAATATCTTGTCCAAGCTTGCATCCTTCTTCTGCCATTGGGAATGGAACATCTCTCCACTTGTAAGTGGTAGAAATTAAGGACTCTGTTGCAGGTTTTGGTTGATTAAAGAATCCTCTCAGAAGCCCATATTTATTTTCAAAAACGAGACCTTTACGGGTCTGATTCTGATGGCTTGGATCCTTGTACCGTCGTGCCCTCCAAATGCGTTGTATTAGGCTTTTGACCTGATTTGTCAACAACGGGTCTTGGCGCCTTGGCTGCTGCTTAAACAAGACATCCCCTCAGAAGCCCATGTATATTAGTCAAAGATATGACTTTCACAGGTCCGCTTGCTCTTTGCCGTCAAATGGAAAGTTAGCTCATAGGGCTTTTCTGGTACTCTGCGGAAGATGCGTGAATTGGCCTGCTTTTTCCCTTTCATCAGTATGCGAGTTGTAGGGCTTCAAGCTGCTTTGACACATCGGGTGCAGGATGTGCTTTTATCCCCTTACCAAATTCTCTGTCATTTTCTGTAATATTTAGTGTTGTAAGATGTTGTAATAAATGTTATAGTTGAAAGAAATTCCACCTCTGACTTTTCTCATCCCTTAGCTCTTTGATGAGCTCTTCGAGAGTAATGAAATAGGCGTAGGCTCAATGACTCTTGAAAGTGAATATCGCTCGCAATGGCCACCCTGATAGTTGAACCCTTCAACGGAAAATTTCGTATGCTAGCTCCAATGAGTAGTAGAGGAAAGCTCGGCCTCAGTGCGTCCTACTTGTGTCGTGTTTTAAGCCTGCTATGCATCCTTGCTCCATCTACCATTCCTTACAATCCATTTCTGGTATGCCCGCTGCTTCGTCCAAAATTACTGACAATCCATCCTATCTTTATTGGGATCATACCCCCTTGGACTTTATTTAAATCCTATTTTTTTATGTTTTAGGAATTATTCCCTGGGCTTTCAATGGGACCATGCCTTGGATTTCAATCTGAGATCATCCCTTGGGGTTAGTTCATTCTCTTGGTTAGTTGATCTCTTGCTTAGTTTATTCCATTTACTGCCCCTCTTTTGCTTGATGAAAGACATCCCGGCAAAGGCCTTGTATATTAGTCAAAAAAGGGGACTCTCATGGGTCCGATGGCTCTTTGACTGGTGTGCCTGAAAATGTGATTGATAAATGGGCTTTTGAAACTCGATTTGTCGCAACAATCTGTCTCCGCCTTTTCAAGTAGGGATCATCTCGGCAGTACAGGCAGTTATGATCCTACATTGCTGCTCGGTAGTGGCCTAAGGTTCAATGATTTATCTTCTGCGCTAAGGCTAGCATCTCATCCCATCTTTCATCTTATTGCTTTGAGCTCTCTTCGGGAAAGTGTCAAAGTCTAACCTGCTGCTCCTTGATTTCACATAAAAAACGGAGTGCCTTCTGCTCCTTTTGCTCTTCTCTTTCTGTGTCTATTGATTTCCCGCCCACTCACATTTTCTTTATCGAATCTTTCTAGGCAGATAGGACAACTCCTGCTTGCTCTTGGCCTTGGCTGCTTAGAGACATTCCTTTAGTTCGTCTTAGAGAATGGAATTCCTAAATTCCGTTTTCGTCTTTCTTATTGTAGGTTGGTCATCTATTTCATTTTGAATTTCATCTCTTGCTTGGTTTCTGGTACCGGTTTCAGTTCCTTTATTCAAATCAATATCTACTATGTCAGGATTCCCTTCCGGTTGTCCTGTTCAATCCGTTGATCTTCTGTCTGAGGCAAAGGCGAATCCCTTTTACTTGTATACAGTCGAGCTGGCTTGGCCGGTACATCAAGCATATCGGCATATTACTTGTTCGGTTTGGTACACATATCTTTCAATGTAAATCAAGTAAGAGAATTCATTCCCACTGTCTGAGGAAAACGTGAAGAATTGCCATTTTATGAGCTTGTGAGGCCCGTTGCGTTGAAGTCCCCGAATAAAGAGGCTATACTAAGTCGGTGGGGCATTGGGCAGCCCTTATTGCCCAAGGGCAAGGCCACGCTCGGCCATTCTAGAACCTTCTATAGAATGCTAGTTTCTTGTAGCTTGTATGGCAGCCCCTTTGGCCGACCTAGGCAGCTTCCTAGGACTCTCTAGAGTCCTCTAAGATTCCACCACTGCTTTGTGCTTCCATGGAGCTTACACCAACTCCTAGATCACTCCGGAACCTTCTAGAACCTTTCATAGCGCAAGATTGTGCTTCCATGGCCTGACGTGTTCTTGGCATTGTCTTGGCCACTCTTCCACATGCACCCTCGTGCTCCCACGATACTCCTAGGCCTTCCATCATGCCAAGATCCTTGTGAACATGTTCCATGCCACCCGTGCTCACCTCGGCATGGTCGGGCATAGGGCCACGGACTTAAATCGCGCTCCCGTCGGCTATCTTTGATTGTCTTGGTCGGAAAATGGGGGTCTTTTGAGCGGGTTGTGACACTCTCCGCCACCTATTATTGCGAAGTCCTCGGCGCAAGTACTCCCCAAGTATGCTTGGACTTGGTCTTGGAATTTCGACGACGAGTCTCTTTCTTTCTCCCAAGTAGCTTCTCTCGCCGGCAACCCCTTCCATACGACCAAGTACTCCATGCTTGGCTTCTTGCCACTTGAACGGACGACCCTCTTGTCAATGATGGCTTCAATGTCCTTGTCATATGATGCGGTTACGGCCATAGGTGCGCGCGATGACACCCCTCGGCTTGGATCCTCCTTCTCTTCATGATAAGGTTTGAGAAGACTTGCATGGAAGACTTTACGTAGATGCTCCACGTGCTCCTCCAGGATGTTACTGTAAATGACTATGTCATCCAAGTATACCACCACGAACTCATCAAGGTATGGCTGGAAAATCATATTCATAAGAGTGCAAAACGTGGCTGGTGTGTTAGTTAACCCAAACGGCGTCACGAGCCACTCGAATGCTCCATACCTTGTTACGCACGTGGACTTAGTCTCATCTCCTTGGGCTATGCGCACTTGGTAATATCCTTTGCGCAAATCTACCTTCATGAAGAACTTGGCCTTCCCCAATCTATCGAACAAGTCGGCGATCAAGGGAATAGGGTATTTGTTCTTCACAGTTATCTTGCTTAGTGCGCGATAGTCGATGCACAGTCGCAATGATCCAGCATGCTTCTTTTGGAAGCCAAAAGGTGCTTTGGATGGTCGAATCTGCCCCGACTCAAGTAACTCTTTGAGTTGCTTTCTTAACTCTTCTAATTCCGGGGGTGCCATCCTATATGGTACAAAGGCGGGTGGTTTCGTACCCGGTCCCAACTCAATTTGATGGTCTATCTCCCGCCTCGGTGGTAGACGGATGGCCAACTCGTCCGTTATGATGCCTTTGTTCTCCTCCAAGAGTTGTTTGATGCACTCGGGCATATCTTCCGTGCCCTTATCTTCGAAAGCATCTTCAATGTCATACATGGCAGCCATCTATGTTGGCTCACCCTTCTTTAGTCCTTTGACAAGTTGCATCGCGGACAATTGCGGTTGTGGCGAGGTAGCGGGCATAGTTGTAGTGGATACACTACATGATGTTCCTTCTCCCAAGAAGCATATGGTTTTGAAGCAGGGAAAGATAATGGCATTTACTTTGCTCCAAAATTCCATGCCCAACACGATCTTGAAATCATCCATAGGTGCTATGGTGAAATAGGTCTTACCTCGCCATGTGCCTATGCTGATGTCCACGTCCCGAACTACTCCATTGATTTCTAGTGCCCTTGCCTTTACCGTCTTAAGCCAATTTTGACTTGGTGTTAGTCTCAAGCGTTTGGCTTCTTCCTCAGTGATGAAGTTATGTGTGGCACCCGTGTCGACCATGACCTTTACGGCTTTTAAGCCCTAAGTTGCTGAAGGCGGGTAACATATTTCAAAATTTCAATTCAGTGGCCACAAACTAAATATTTTGAATCAGAAACAGACACTGTTTTTAAAAGTGAAAAACGCACAAAAGCGACAAAGTCCCTAGGATTTGACCCCAAAAACCAAGAAATGGAGCGCACACTTCCTTGAAGTGAAGTGCATGATTTAAGAAATTCAAAATATCAG